AAAAAAGGTAGGAAAAGTAGCACTTTTCTCCAGAGCTGCTTGCATGTTTTTCTTTGGTAATTTCAGACTTTTCAAATATTAATCACTTGAACAGTGCTCAGATTTGGAAGTTCATTAGGTTAAAAGCTCACATGGATTGTGGGGAGCACATGGGAGATTGGTCTCTGTGTGGTTTCTAACTTGACAAGGATGAGCTGAAGTAATTGTCTGAAGTTTAAAACCTCTTCACATCCCCTAAATTGTTTTCCAAAACTTGTGTGTTGAGTGTTTGCAGACTGAGGGAAAGTGACTTCATGGCATATGGCTGAGGGTGAAGCCCCAGCACAAGTCCAGGACTTTACTGTTTTCACAGTATACAATAGCTACTTCATAGTCCAAAAAAGTGAACAACACTTTAGTTCTTGGTCGCTTTTAAAGACCTCCCCAGTCAGTGCAGTAATGAATGACTGGGGATTTCCCCCAGAGCAGCACATTTCTCCCCTGAAATACATTAAAATGTAAATGAACCTTTCAAACCCAAACCCTTTGCAGCACAGCCCACGTTCTACCCATGTTCTGTGCTGCAATCTGCTTTCTGCATTTCTTTTAATACCAAATGTGTTCGTTTTGAACTTTTCCCCTTACATGTTACAGCTCCAGGTTGTGTCTGTCCATGTGCTGTCCGACCATGAAATGAATTAAGGCTCTCATGCAGCATTGCCAAATGCAGCAGCTGCATGAGATTATGCCCTAGGATTTGACATGATTCAAATGTGTCGTAGCAAACTGAGGCATTGAGATAAGCAGGGATGAGATCCTCCTGGGAATCCACTTGGTAGGGAATGTCTATGCTTCCATGGAAATTTCGATGTTGAAAAAATTAAAAGTTGCTTGTCATGTTTGAGCAGCTTAATGCCTAACTTGTTATACAATAATAGGTTCTGAGCAAGATATTTACCTGGAGTTTTAATCAGCTTAGAAGGAAATGAAAATGCTGTTTCAGAAATTTCCTGATGTTCTGGGCAAGCAGCTTAAAAAAATAGGCACTGTTTATCCAAAGTATCGCAGAATGATAGCCTAAGATGTAAGAGCTAAATGACAAATTCGTGTTAGAGTTGGGAAATAAGGTTTTTAAATGAGACCCAGTCTGTCCCAGATTCCCAGGCTGAAATGTTTGGGTAGTGGCATAACTGTCAGGAGATGAAGCAGTTGTGGCTCAGGGATCAGTTCACACAGAACCAGTGTCCAACCCACCCTGCATGTCTGGAGGGGCTTGTAGTGAGTGGAGCTGCTGAAATACCTTGGAAATGAAGTGAGGGAGTTATGGTTACAGATGCTATTGCTTTAAAAGACATTATTTAACTCCTTAGTAAGGGTCCTGTTTTTAAATCAGAATAAACTGCCACTTGAGTTGGTTCTGTCCTGTTTCTGTGCCACCAACTTGGGGGTCTCGGGTTGCTGGAGGAGCTGCATTGTGTCTGTTCTGGTGTGAGGATGTTTTATGGCTTCTGCAGGAGAAAATGTGCAATTATTCACAGCAACACAGACTTCTTCAGCAGCTTGTCAGAAGCACTCTGAGCTCCAGCCAGGCTGCAATACCATTTTACATTTAATGCCATTTCTTTGCTTCTGATTTCGTTCTCTTTCCACGCTGATCCCCATGCAAAATGTTTTCAAACTTTTGTCTTTATCACTTTTTTTAAAAGTGCTTAAAGGTACAAAATTCCAATTTAAAAGAGCAAAGCGAACCAGTCGCTCCTGATTTTAACTTCCCCTGAGAAATTTCCAATTTGAAAGAGCAAAGCGAACCAGTCACTCCTGATTTTAACTTCCCCTGAGAAATTCCTGCGACACAGACTGTGTTACCCCCAGAACATTGTCACACACACAGAGTTGCAGGGATGAGGATGTGTGGAAGTCAGTATACATTGGGCATTTTTTAGCTTTCTGCACAACTCTATGTTGTACTGCTCTGACCCACGTTGAAAGAGCAAAGCGAACCAGTCACTCCTGATTTTAACTTCCCCTGAGAAATTCCTGCGACACAGACTGTGTTACCCCCAGAACATTGTCACACACACAGAGTTGCAGGGATGAGGATGTGTGGAAGTCAGTATACATTGGGCATTTTTTAGCTTTCTGCACAACTCTATGTTGTACTGCTCTGACCCACGTT